TGCAACCTCCCGATCCGCCCTGCTCTGTGCACGACAGGGGGCGGCTCCCCAACTCCCCAATCGGTCCTGCTCTGAGCCCTACCAGGGGCTGCACCTAAGGATTGGGCCTGCTCTCTGCCACCTGGGAGCGGGCCTAAGCCCGCAGGTCGTTATCTCCCAAGGGGTCCCAGACTGTGAGAGGGCACAGGATGGCCTGAGGGACCCCCCTCCCCCCTGAGTGCACAAATTTTTGTGCACCGGGCCTCCAGTGTGTATATAATTATGGAACACCAAAATAATACTATGTCTGAAAAAAAAATCTAATTAAACAAATTAAAGAGATACCAAGAAAAAACTGAGTTCAGACTTAAAGAATGATAGTAATATTATCAGGTAACAGGGCAAAGGTTTCCAAGTACAGGTAACATCACAATGGATGTAAATAGCCTTAGTAAGAAAAGTGAACATATATCCAGAAGTCAGTAGTGTCATAAAAATAAAAGGATAGAACTTCAAGGAAAAACATTTAATGAGAAAAGCAGTAGGGATTTTCAATAGGAAAATATATAGTCTGTGGGCATCTCATCCACTTTATAAAAAACTAAGTTGAATGAATGACATTATTCAAGAACATGCTGTACTGGCAATTGGGACAAAGATCACAGGATCATAAAAGTTTAAAATATTTACTCTGTCCCTTTACAAATCATTTGTTCACAAGTTGAATAGGTGAAGTTCATAAGATTTTTAGGTTGATGAAACTATGTTGTATGAGACTGTAATGGTGAATACATGTTATACATTTTTGAAAAACACAAAACTTTAAACCACAGAGTGGCCCTTCAATTCAATACAATTAGTGAGGATGTTGGAGGGTTTTCAGAGTGATGCCCACTATCACAAAAAAAGTCCAATTGTAGAGCAGAAGAATGAAATAACCTCCCTGAAGGTGATGGTGGGAAAAGGCACTGATCTAAGTAACTTTGCAAATGAGAACTAAAGGGAAAAGGGCTGTCCATAAACCCTTTACTCTAGTTGCCAAAGTTTTTATTGCAGAGGAAAGGATTATCATATCATAGGGGGCTTTAAACTAGAAATTACCAATGAAATAAATGGGTAACAGATGGTTGAAAGAAGGTGTTTCACTGATGAAGGAGAAATTTACTAATAATCAGAAAGAAGAGGCCAGAAAGATTCAGGTGGTAATGAATTAAAGTGGCAGATATTAGTAGGAACTGAAAATTAGCTGAATTTAGATGTAAATGGTTATATATACAAATATTTATTGATATGTACACTTACATAGGTTAGTGTACACACAAAATTCCTTGCTCTGTCAGCAGAGAGAAGCATAAAGAAAGACAGGTAGCAAGCACCAAGCATACCTGTGATCCAGTTTAGGAAATATCCAAGATAAGCCTGGAGCAATTTTTAATGCCATAAGGTAAGTCTCAAACACACACACACATACACACACACACATATGCACACAATTGAATGATAATGAAAGTTAGAAAAATGATGAGGAAAAAGAGGAAGGCAATTACTGAAATCAAAATAAAACAAAAAGAAGTTCGTTATCATTAGAATTCTCAAATTCAAACTAGATTTATTCAGTTTTTAAAGAGCATCACAAACAACATTTTGAATCATAGGCTAACCAATTACATTTACTGTGTTTTAAAACCCTT